ACGTTAAATTTGAAATCGAGAAAAAAAATAGGGGGTTCCATTTGAAATAAGCAACTTTTTGAGGTTTAAAAACATGCAAGTTTAGAGGCTAATTGAGCGGTTTAGAAGTATGTCCTTATAATTTAAAACATATCTACGCGTAGATCATGACGTTTTGTTAGAATCGCTGAAAACTGTTTTCCAAAATTCGCAGCGGGTAGTGTACAGCATCGATTTCTGTGGAACCCAGTAGCTGTCAAAACTTTCACATTTTTACGAATAACTCGGAAATCGTAAATTTTTCAGGTAAAACGTTTGACACAAACTTAACTTAAATTTTGACGACAAATCTGAAAATGAATGAAAAAAGGGGCGGTTCCATTTAAAAAACCAAAGTTGGTAACTACCACACGTTTAGGATACACCCCGTATATTGGAAAGTAATTTTAAAATGTGGACCTTTTAAACATGAAAAACTTTCGTAGGACGTATTTTCTTGTAAAGTTCATATTTACTGAGATCGCACTTTGACGCACTAATGAGCAACCCTGTATATTCTTCCACTAGTTGAAGTGTTTGGTTATCGATATTGACATTGATGTTGGTGTTGTTTGAGCTCATGATCTTTGTTTACTGGAGGTTCATTTCTAGTCCTACCTTCTGTGACTCTTTCTTTGGTTCGCATACCATGACGCTGAGTTCGTCCTGGTCGGTGCTCATAATCACAATGTGGTCGGCGAATCGGAGATGACTCAAAAGTCTTCCGTCTATGTTGACTTGGGGATGACTGTCGGGAATTGTGTCCTCCTCCACACATTTGTTAATAAGGATGATCAGTGCTTTCTCCAGGGTTGATCCCCCATTCTTCACCAGTTCTGTTGTAAGGCGGTCTTCTCCTGAGGCCTTTCGATTTTTCATCTGCCTCAGTGCCATTCTCAGCTCCGCAGTATCAATTTCCGGGATGTCCTCGGAGCCCACATTCAAAACTTACTGGTTAATACGGTTTGGCTTAGGTAGCGATTGGCTGTAGAGTTCCTGGCAGAAGTTCTGGATAGTGCGATGTGATCTGTTATCTCTCTGTCAGGACTTGTCCTTGTTGCTCCTTAATTTTGTATATGAACGGATTTCCCTTTGTTCTTTTTGATCGGAGGCCTTTCATATTCATGTTGTCTTCGATGGCTTCTTGTATGATCTTTGCGTTATGAGATCTTAGGCCTTTTTTAATCGCTTTCTTTACTTGTTTGTCTAGTTGGTATCTTATTGAGTCTCTGTTCCTTTTTCTACGTTCTGCTAGGAGTGTGTTTGTGCTCTGGCTAAGTTTCGTGTTAGTTTTTGCAGCCATGGAACATACTCTTCGCGCTGCTACTTGTATGCTGCTAGTGATTTTTCCTGAAAACTCATTTAGACCCATATTTCTCAGATCTTCAGTTGGTTCTAGTCGTTTGTTGATTTGGGCCTTGTATTCTTCCATTTTGTCTTTGAGCTGATTTCCTGTTGGACGAAAAGCTTTATCGATTTGGTTTTTTCTTTCCAAGCGTGTGCTTATATTTATTGTGGCTCTTACGTGTTAAGTGATATATCGGTATAGGACCGTCTATCCGTAGTGAGTATATAGTCAATTTGGTTCTTAACTGCGCCATTCGGACTTCTCTATGTCCATTTTTTCTGAAATTGTTTGTTGAAAAACGTGTTCATGCAGTTCATTTGTTTATTGTTCATAAAGTCAAGCATCATTTATCCTCTATCGTTTCGCGTGCCCAATCCAACATTACCGAGGTTCGGACCGTCTGGACCGATTATAACCTTGAACTTCGTATTTTCTTGGTTTTTAGCTATCGTCAGATCTTCATAAAATTGTTCGATATCTTCGTCATGTTGATGTTGATGTGGGTGCATATGCCTGAATTATCTGCAGGCTGTATCTCTTGTTCAGTTGGAGAATAATGTATATAACGCGGTCTGATATAGCTTTGCTTTTAGTGACAAGATGTTTTCTCTTGCTGTTTACCATGATCGCTACTCCTCCGATATGATGGTTGGTTTCGGAATTTCTCTGAAAGAGCATATGTCCAGATTTCAGAATTGTGTTGTTCTCGCCTAATTGTCGGGTCTCGCTGATTCCTAGTATCCCCCATTTGATGTTTTGGAGTTCGCTTTCTAGACTTAGTAAATGTTCTTCGAGTCTCATTGTGCGAATGATATATGTTAAGACTAGGATGTTCTCGTTTGTTTTCCGTTTTTCATCTGCTAGTGTCGAGGTTTTGCCTCCCCCAAAATCCTTGGGGCTGGCTGATGTATCAGCGCGAGATTCGGAGCACTTAGCTCTACTCGCCTGGGGTATTTCTGTTTTAAAAAACGACATTCCATGTACGTTGTGGAAGGAGTTTGGCATTAAAACGCCACGCTTGCCGAGCGTGTTGCCGAGTCCTGGTCCCATGAATTAATTCAGCCGCCCATTCTGGGACCGACGCTGTTTGCAGCCGCCCAATCTGGGACAGACGCTGTTGGTTTGTTTAGCGATATCTGGTTACTCTACTCAATTAGCCTGTTGGTCAACACAGTTTCCCGGGTGTGGCACTTGGAGCCTTGAGTGAGAGCTGGGCACCCCAGAAGGACCAGTTACTACAATTTATCTCCCGTCTCTGACGCTTGATATGACCGATTCTAGTAAGAGGTGCTACCTCTATGGCGAGACCCCATTACACCCATCAATTTTATTATAGGGGCAAAAGACGCATAGTCACGGATGTAACAGCGCTAAACAGCTTGACAGTAGGGAGTGACCACGGACTGGTTAGAACGACGGTGTCATTAAACTTATAAATAAGATAAACGACAAAAAATAAACTGATATAAATATAACCCTGATGAATATCTGAGAATAATAAATGAAAACTTTAAAGGTCCTGATCAAATGAATAATAAAGATCTAATCAAAAATATTGTTAGATTAATCAGCAAAGAAAGAGATAGGAGAGATTACAGAAAATCGGTAGATGATAAAGATGTTAGAGTAATAAAGGAATTGTATTGGCAACAGCTGGCAGAGTATTATTGTATGAGTACAGTTGTATTAATGGCGAGCTATCAACAGAGACCTTTGCTATTTCGAAGGAAGTGCGTCAGGGATGTGTACTGTCACTCATTGTATTTAACATTTATGTGGGAAAAATCTTCCAACTAGCAGTAGCAAATGAAACCCGAAGTATCAACGTCAATGGCGTCCCAATAAGCAATATCCTGGCTAATAACCTTGAAGACCTCCAGTCAATACTAAATAAAATCAGCAAATGTGGTGGAAAGTTCGGACTACATATAAATATTACCAAAACAAAAATTATGGTGACTAGCAGAAATTAGCATACTACCACTCTCAACATCAACGGAGAAAATATTGAACGTGTCGCCATTTACCTATCTTGGCGCTTCTCTAAATGAAAAGTGGGAATGTGATGAAAAAGTGAAGGGAAGAATTGGTCACGCGAAAACAACCATCTTTAAACTTAAGAATATACTTCTTCACAGAGATATGCCACGACACACTTGAATACGTGTAGTACAATGTTATGTATGTATGGACTTTGCTATTAAGCATTATTTTGAAATTGTTCCATGTTTAATTGGTAGCATATTGGAATACTTAAGCATTAAAAAAGAAACATTACGATCTTTACTTCAAATCACGAAAAATTTTTATATCAAAAAAGTCATTTTCTACAATTTTTTGATGAAAAGTCAAAGCGGCAATGATTTTGTCATTAACAGATAGTTACAGGTGGATAGCCCTTGTCAATCATAACAATAATTTGTCAAACTGTGACTTACTTTGAATTTCCTTTCACGAATTTGCGGAAATGCGCTTAGTTCAAGGGAAATGCTACAGTAACATAGCAGACGCTGAAAGAACTCACGCCTACAAAGTTCGAGGAGAGTGGTTCCAGGAAGATAGTGGACGATATATGTTCGGGTTCCAGGCACAGAGGAACACGTATTGGACATAACCGAATTAGGGCCTTCCAGGGGCACTCAGAGGACAATAACTGACACTTTCCCAAGCACCAAATAAATACGATACCAAAGGGCTACGTTCCTACCACGTTTGTACGATACACACAGCACAAGGAGATACAAATGGAACAGAAGTTAATTAACTGAATACGAGAAGCTGCTTGATAAGAGTGGAGGAGATTACACAGGCACTAGCTTGTTTGGAGTTAACCATTCAAATGTTTGGTGTTGTATGGTTTGTTTCACAGACTAGTCACTTTCTTTATAAACACCAATATTCGAGGTTATGCGAACAGGTTGACATTTCGTCAACAAATCTTGTTGAATTTACCGTTTACCCTTGCCTATCTTATTGTCAGTCCGTATAGTTCCATGGTTACCGGAGTTTTAAATATTTACGAAGCCACAGGTATTTGCGCAATGTTAATTAGGCAGATTACCTTGAAAAACATTGCTGTCGTATTTCTGATATAGCTTTTTGCAAATTTCTCAGTTTTTAATAACAATTAATTTATTTTACTATTTTTTCTGTACTATAACAGCGAAAGACAACACGTCCAGAGGAATGACGCCAATTTTGAATCACCCCCAGTAGTTCCATTCTTCTAATTATAGCTTCAATCTGGAGTACCTATTCTAAACCATAAAATTATTTCGGTGTGCGTGATGTTGGATTATGTTTCTTTGAAATGTTCAATTGTTTTTTTGAATTAGGAAGTTTGGTTTATGACGTCAATATTAACAAACTGATTTAAAATTAAAGTAATTTCTTCAGCGTCTTGTTGATCTGAGTTATCAGTAAAAAATATTAGAGAACTTTGAAAATTTAGTAATCCGTTTTCATCGTTTATTTTTGTAGATCGTATATCTCGCAGGAATAATTTGATTTATCAAAGTATCCATTCGATTTTAGATATAATATTCCGGGTAGAGGTGCAGGTACAAACGACAAACGAGGAATAAATGTACTTTCTATAAATAATTTCAATAATTAATAATTTTTTTCATATGAATACGGTACTTTTAATTCAATAAACTTATCGTAAATGAGATATGTACCTCAATTATTAAAAATTAATTTAAAAAAATACGAATAAAAATGACACTCTAAAATATACGGCAATGAACAGTGTTCAGATTTGTATACCCACTGAGTACGATCAGCAATCCGTTTGAAAGCCAGTATGTTAATTATTTCTGCATTTTATTACCTTACAGATAAACAGTTCTTACCACCATCCGGGACAATGGCACGATCTTCTGATCAAACCCAGCCAATCTTACAATTCCGCCACCAGCGAAAGAACTCAATCCTACCGGCTCCACAATCTTCAAGCCGATTCGACCTACGAATGTGTAATTCAGACAAAAAACCAGCACGGTTATGGTGAACTTTCGGATACCTTTCAGTGGTACACTGCTCCAAAAGGTCGAATAATTCTGCAGAGCAATGGAGGTGTTTTTAATTCATTTTCTGAAGTGATACTTCTAAGCATTCTATCTATTTTGTTAATGATTAGCTCATAAAGTGAAAGACCCATCAGCATGTACATATATTAAAGGTTTGTTGTATGTTGATTTGGTACTTTTACTTTTCAGTTATGTTCACGTTTATGTTACTGAAATTTACATATTTTGTCATATGTTGCCTGTCATCTACAGTGCAACATTCATATATTTAATAAGGCGAAATTCAGTTTTTTGAGCAATACTTTGCATAAATACTTGCAGAATATTCATAATGTGATTGTACAACAATTTGCGTAAACAAAAATAAGGCCACCTAGTCACACTTATCTTTAGCAAAATAGTAGTATCTGTTTGCTTATCTTGTCGCTACAGGCGGCAATGCTGCTCGACTTTTTGTTGCTTTTATAAAATTTATTACAATTGCATTTTTTTATTTTGATTGAGAATAATCTGATGTCGATTGACAAGATTGAGATAACTTTTGAATATATTCAAAATTTACAAACTGTGCTTGGTTGTACATGAAAATATCTACCCTTGCTACCTTCTCTTGCCCAAATACGTTATTACCTGTATTTATGAAATTCTAGATGTGTTTGCCTAAATACCCTTGTTACTGGTTAGGCATTACGCAGTTATTTCATGTAGTGCAACACATTTCATATATTTTGAAATATGTACGTTGTAGTTAGTTAATATAAAAAAATAACCAGTTAATCTTGAACTCCTGGTTAATGGCGAAATAATATCCGTTGCAATGATTTTACCTCGCACAACCTGCTATCTGCTACAAGCTAGTTTCATGTTTAGTTGTTCCCTACCTTTAAATAGAAAGGATGTAAAAAATAAGAAAACTACCCATAAATCATTCATAAAAATGAAGAAATTTTGTCAATTATAAAAACATAGCCATTCGGTGATCCCATATAAAATTGAGTATTTTCCAGCACAAATACGTATCTATATAACTAAGAGAGGTCTTCAGATTGTGTGGAGAAAATATTCATTGTATACTGAGAATTCACACGGTTTGAGGTAATCTTAGAAAGGCCATTTAGAACGAGACTTTTTATGGATTGGATTTAGTCAATTCGGACGCTACATTCCTTTGCACCGCTGCCGCTCTAGAAATATTGTGTAGAAACACAGGATTAATACTGTGTGAGATATAGCTGACGACCTCTCTTAATTGCTCACTTGGTGCTGTCGCCTTATTGCGCAATATAAATAAGCCTATAAAATTTGTCATAAAAATTATGATCCAATTCACTTAGGATTTTAGGTGATTTATCAGATCCCTATGTTTCTGAAGCAAATCTTTTTCAACTGGCCGACAACCTCATAATTTAGGTTGTTTTCACTTTTTACTCCTACTACTGTTATAATAAGCATTAACCCGATAAGGGTCGCATTGCCCTAACATAAACCAAGTGGTTGAGGTTAACCGAATGTTCTTAATATTAACTAGATTTCGCACCTAATTTCTAACATAACAGGATTTTTCATGATTATGTGAAAATGTATAAAAGTGTTCAAATGAATATAAGTGTTGCAAATATTTGCGTTATAATATATGTTCGTCTTCAAAAATACTCCAATTCCAAAAGATTCCAACATAATTATTGCTTCATATCGTTTTATTTCAAAATCTTGTGTGAGTCGAGTGTAAGTTTTCAGAAACAGTTGCTTGCGATTCAAAAAATCACCGTGGATGACTTTTAGGGCCCGTATTCTAAGCTTGATTGCCACGCTTTTCAAGCATGTTTATCAGTGATACTCGCGCGCCCTCATCGCGTGCCGGCACTTTCTTACCTCTATCTGAGAGACCTTCCCTCATTGAGAGGCCCCAAAAGATGTTCTCAACTTATGATAAAACGCCACCGCTGCGCCGTGGGCGAGCTCGTATCAAATATAGAAACCAGTTAAGAACTATTCCCAGCATCCCAATCCCAGACCTGTGAAGTGAAAAAGAAGGTCGGTGTTGGCACAATTAGGCCACACAGTCGAGGAACCAAAACTGGGTCCTATGCGCATTGTCCAATAGGAAACTTGCACAAAAATTAAATTTAAAAAACATTACCCCCAAACGTAACTTAATACTATTAAAAACACCACAGTTGACCAAACAACTAATTTTTTATTTCTATGTAATTAATATAAGCAATTGAAAACGGTATAATTTAAACCATTTTTGAAACGCGCCGTCATCTGCTGAAACCAGTTGTGACGTCACGCGGCTTGTCGGCCGCGGTGGCTTCAATGCGGAACATGTAAATATGCAATCTCAGTCTTGATATTGTTGTTAAAACGTTTATATAGTATATTCGGAGAAAAAGAAAATTTTTCAAAACGACTGACGCAGGTTTTGTAAAAGAACAATTTGACATTTTACCATTCGTGGATATGTTTATGGTGGCATCTTACAATAAAAACACCAAGTTTTACTCTTGCTGAAGTTCGCGGTGTTAAAGCTAACAGGTAGATTTATAGACAAAATAGTCAATAGTTTTACTTATATAAATCGATAAAATGTTAGATTGGCGTTTTACTGGATTTAATTTTCAAATTCAAAAGTGATTCAACAAAAAATAAAAAAGTATTGTTTTCATGCTAGTAACAACTAAATTACATCATTAAAAGTGATTTGACATTGATGCAAAATAGAGCGTTAATTATTAAATATATCCTTAGTTACTCAGAATAACAATGTTAAGTACAAAAATATGCAATAAGTAAAAAAACGTTATTTACGATTACGATCGGGAATGTATTCTTATGGAGTTTCTGCAGTAGGATTAGTGCAAGTTGCAAGTACAATAGCCTTCATTTTTTTTCAGACCTCCAATTAACTTGAATTTAACATAGTTATTCATATCTTCTTCCAGCTAGAATAAATAAATAATATTAAAGTTACATAAAAATATGTGTTAATATTCATTTGCATGACAAAAATAGTAGGTATTTAACGTAAATGCACGACGATAAAACGAAATTTTCCCATCGCATATACTTATTGTTTCTTTTTATTGTCTAGTACAGCAATTAACTATTTTTGAGGTGATTATTTACTACTATAGCATTAACCTGCATAGCCGAGAAGCAAACAAAATACAAATTCAAAGTATTTATCTGTTATACAATAGATAAAATCAAATCTGTTTTTCATACTTACATTAAAATGATCTTAACATACATGGGCAGTAGTTTTCTCAGAAATATCCTTGCATACCTTTACCCTTTAACCATTTTAAACGCCGGCTTTTATGTACTAGGACACAGTGGCACCATACAGCATTTGTAATATTGTTTTGTGTTGCTTCCATTATTAATAAAGCACGGCACGAATTCAACACAGGGAACACCCAGACAACTCAACGACAAGCCGGATTCCCGTATTGCCTTTCGATCGATCGACCAGCGATATGACGTCACGACCATTCCCGCGCGTTTAGTGCCGTTTTAAATGAATAGCTTTCGGTCACAACTTTAATTGTTTATTGCAACTTAAATATTGCTATCTTAGGGCAGATATTTGGTATGGGCGATTTCTATAGATAGACAAATATATTAAAGAAAAGAAAAATGTTTACGTTCTCCATTAACTCTAACCGCGCCCACTCTACTGAGAAAGGAGTAGATATTTTCAAAGTCCGCACGTACCAACGCCTTTGGTTCAAGGCAGTTGTAACAAAAGTGGAAATATACTTCTTGCAAGCACAATACATTTGCATGTATCGTTTACAGTGGTCTCTTCTACTTCTCTGCAGAATCTGCACATCGCATCTTCAGCGATTCCGATGTCGTGCAAGTGGAACTTGACCAGCGATTGTGCAGTTATGATCCTACAATGGTACTGAGCGGTTTCCTGTCTAGGTTTAACAGTTTCGTCGTGTTCTATACGCCTAAGAGCCTACGATTTTTGAGACCGTAGTGGTTTTTCAATATCCGTTTTAATGTTTTCAGTGTGTAATTTTTTACCTTTCTTTTGATTGTTGCGTTGGAAAACCTCGCTGCTGGTTCCGACCTGATCAGTGTGCCAATGCTACCTCATCGGGCCGATCTATCCCCATTTTCAGTCCCCGGTATGCTTTGATGACCCGTACCCACATAAGAAAACCCTGTTAGTGGTACTCAGAGGATCAAGGATGTTGCTGCATCCAAGGACATTTAATGAGATCCTACATTCTGAAAGAACCTTAATCGCCGCTTTACTCTTAGTGCAGGCCATGTTCATGTACCTGTGTCTGGGCAGGTTCATGTACCTGTGTCTGTAGGCCCCATAGATTTCTAGTTCTTTAGACCCGTTCGTGTACCCTAAGTACAAATCCCTAAAAACCTAGAAGTCATGGCTCGAATTCCATCCTGTTAGATTTTGATGCAATTTTTTCTCATCAAAATGGATTCGAGTTGAATGTTTCTTCACAGACTTGCGATGTCCATCGTCAGTATTGCCATGCCCCATCCCCCATTCTTAAGTCGCCCAGAAACCCTGCGAGCTCCCTTCTCCACAACTCGGTAGAGAGGAGGCAAAAAGGCCCCAGTACTAGTTTAAGGGCCAGTGTGGGTGTTGTGCATAACGGTGTTTTGGTCCTTCAGCCAGCTATTCTTGGCAATGTCTCGAATTTCACCTTGCATGTAGCTTTTTATAATGCCTGTCACCATACAGGGCTTCCACGTGTTATTACACAATCCTAGACCAGAGCAGTCTACAAGCATTACGGGTATGACGTCAGGCCGTAGGATTAAGAAAAGTTCTGGGCAAGGAAAAATATGCGTTACGTCTTTTGCTTGCTAAATTTAAAATATATTTAATTTAATAAAGACCCAAACTAGAATAAATTGCCAACATAAAAAAGGATTCAACTACGTAGTTCTTGCCTGCTATGACAAAAATGCATATAATTTGTTTAAATATTGTAGGGATTTGATCACTTGCAACTTGCAAGGTCTCAAATCGAAAATGGTTATTACAAACATCTCAAGGAAAATCGGAAAATATATTTGCATCATAATGAAATAGCCTGTAGGTGGATGATTGTATTCTTTTTTGCATTCCTTTCGGTTTATTTTAGAGTTCTTAGCTTCTTGTCGCATGTGAAAATGTATTATATTAATTCAAAATTGACTGATAAATCGGTAAGGATTAGTTCAATATGTAATTATTTCGATGAGACTGTAACTGTTTATATTATAATGCGTTTGGCCGTCGTATAGGTTTATATGTATTGACATTTTCAAACTGCTTTTGTGATATGTGCTTTTGTAGTTTTTGATCCCGTTTAGAAATCTCACAGAGCACTGTTTTTGTTGTTTCTATTAAAATTATAGAGATTGTAAAAATGTCTGTATAGTTTATACAAATATTCGAAATATTACAAGTCAATTTCCGTTTAATTTCAAAAAAGTTTACATCTACTTACTTCTTTGGAATGTCGGAGTTCTGAAGTGACTCCAGGTCAATCAAGCATTACCGTATTAATAATAATACCAGGAGCATTTTGTTGATTTTGTGACAAACACAAGAAATTGATATTGATAACTTGCTTCTAAATAGTATATTGACAAAAGTCAATTCATCTCTCTGATTCAAATCAACTTAGTTTTTTTAAAATTAATGTGGAAACGAATTTACTGAAAATTTGGAGGCAATTATTTAATGTTTCGTACCTGTTAATTCAAATAAATGAACTGTATATTTAGATAAAATTGAGGGAAATATTAACAGTAAATCGGGATTTAAAGGAAATATTTGAGGTAAACATTCAAATAGGTATGTTGTCATGTTTATTATCGCTGTAAAATATATTTTCTACGAAAGTAAGACAGTGCCTCATTACTAATTTTTTTTCAAATGTTTATTATTTATTATTGGTAAAATGTTTACCATGAATATTCGGAGTTTTAACTTAATTAGACATTTTCTGCAGGTTCAAAATATGAATGGATTTATTTATAACATCTAATATAAGCAGCAACCACTTTGCTTTCAAATTTTTATATAGGAAAACACACCACTACTCAACATTGTATTTTTTGACATATTTAAAAGGCCAAAGGCAACATTTTACTTGATTAATTTACCGAGAGATTGATTTTACGGCTATCAAATCTCCGGGCCTTTTAACAAACGAATTAGTGCTGACAATGTGGTATCAGAAAGAACTGTGTGCAATATCGCAATTGCTGGTGCTGTGTCTGTCATCGATATCTACAAATGGTAATAAATAATAGTTAGTAAATATAAATACTCCAAGTTCTGAAAACATTCTTACTCTCCAACCTAAAAAACCTTAGTCAAAAAAGTCTTTTACCTAAAAAAAACCTCAGCTTCGATTCAATTAGATTCATTTATTTAACCACAATATACTTGAAATATATGCGCAGCAAGTCATTCCAATAATGCAGTATTATTATACGCAAGTTAACATTAACACCTACTCTAAAGCTTACACCTACACAAATAAAACAAATACGAAATTACAAACAAAAACACATTAAAAAACATAATTAAAATATTCCTGCTGTGAGTAAAAAGAAGCGTCAACAAAAACCTGCTTGATCGCTCTCTCAAAAGCAACCCTCCAGCGCCCTAACGCGATCGGGAAGCTTATTATATATGACTGCGAGGTAAACGCACTTGAGATGCACTTGAGAGTGTATTGTGTAAAGTGACATATTTTTATCAATTTCAAATATGCAGCTAAACATATATGCAGATGAAAATTGTAAAATTATTAAACATTTAAAATGTTGTCTGTAAGATTGTCTAGGTCCAAACCAAACATATTTCAAATCGCTCTTTTTTGGAGACGGAAAATTCCAATAAGATGAGGAGAGCCAGCCCAAAGTGTTACTCCATGTTGCATTTTAGAATGTAACTACGCAAAATATACAGTTCTAGGGGCATTCAGTTCTAATGTGTCCCTAAGATGGCGCAACATAAATATGGCGGTGAAAAGTTTTTTGGAAAGGAAGTCGATATGCACATTCCAACCCAGGCGATCATCAATAGCAATTCCCAACAATGTGACGCTATTGCCCTTAGCGTCCGAAGTAGAAAGAATCAACTCCTGAGTTTTACTGTGATTCAATACTAATTTATTATTTGAACACTAAGACTCGACCCTTGTTTGCACGTCCCCAGAACGAAATAATAGTTCCGAGAGTGTCGCCCCGCTAGATATAACCGTTGTCTCATTCCGAACAGACAACAATTGGCTGGACTCACATACTCTGAAAAATAATTCATGTAGACTATGAAAAGGAGGGAACCCAAGATTGACCCTTGCGGAACACCTCGCCTCAGTGGCAAGACCGAGGAGAGTCCCCCACTCGCCTCAATGCACTGAGAGCGGCCCAGCAGGTATGACTCGAAAAACCTTAGAGAGGCAGAGCTGAAACCCATTCAAATGATTTTGATGCGTCTTAAACAGATAATCGCACATAATCACCTCTCTCAAGTCCCTCAAGAACGTCAGATAGTACAGTATAGACGCGCAACGCTTGCACCGTTGACTTTCCAGGCAGAAACCCAAACTGTTCCGCCCGAAAGAACGAAACACCAAGCACAAATAATCAAGAATCAAGTCCTTTATTATTATTTATTTCAAATATTTTGCCAGAAAATGGGAATAATTTAGATCGGACGGTAATTACTTGGAAGTCAGACTTGGAACCTTTATTAAATATAGAAATTACTTTGGAGCACTTAAACATCTTGGGAAAACGGAGGTAGCTAAAGAAGTGTTGAATAGATGTGGTAAGAGAGATATAAAGAAGCACCCACTATCGCGCTATTAAGATTATGAATATCTAAATACGAACGACCTTTCAACTTTGTAATGGCTTGGGACACCATTTCATATGTTATATAAGGGAAGTCGAACTTTTACCAAAGGGCGAATTTTTATCATACCTTATGAGAATCAATGGAAGCAGGTCCGTTAAAAAAAATAATTTTTTGTTTAAAACATTTACTAGACAAATTCCTATTTGGTTGCTTTCTATTCAATGCACAAATATTAGTTGCAGTAATTAAGTTAATTTTAATAACAACATTAAGGCAAATAATATTAATAATGATATGGAGATTTAGCATTAACATGGTGGAAAAAAATGTTATTTGATCAAATGCATTTTGAATATGGATAAGTCCGCAATGCCGTGTTAAAATGTTCATGTCAGTCACGAGCTTATCCAATTCTTACTCAAAAGTTTTGAATCGATAAATAAATGCTCAGGCATTAATTTCTCGCAGACCCAATACACAATAAAATAAAATGATGCATTTTCCCGCTGGTTACTTATTTGACCTGAAAAATCCGGAGTTTTATTTCCAAAAAAAGGTTAAGCAAATGTAGAGCTCTTTTAATAATGTGGTTGTATTGGAAGGGGCATTTTA